TTTCCATAGAGTAGGGTCCCTGGAGGATGGTGCGGATACCTCCTCTTCAATAAATCCTTTTCCTTCATATCCATCTTCTGCAAATCTAACAAAACCAGAACCAGGTTTGTAACGCTCTCTCAACATTTTTTCTAACTCCTCTTCATCCATCTCTTCTTCCTTAGGTACAAGAGGGAACCCAGTATGTTTGGCTTGTTCATCCGGGACTTCAGCAACAAAGTCTTCTTGAAAAAAGTCTACATCAAGGAATGATGAATAAATATCATTAGTGTCCATGCATGCAGAGGCATGCACCCCAACCAAGTTTATCATTTTGTTCAGGACATGAACGTCCAAAATACTCCGTAACGTTAAGGCATTTCAGATGCTCCAGAACAGGCTCATCCCATTTAATTAAAGAGGTACAGAGTATAAAGGACAATAATGAAACAAAAGTGAAATGTCAATGACTGTAAATTCTGAATCCTAACCCAAGCATATATAACAGGAAACAGGAAAATCATAGTTCGACATAAGCAAAGATGACTCGAGAAAATAATGTAGAAAACAATATTACTCAGGCTTCCTACTTTAACTCAAGAAATAAAAAGAAAGCTTCAAAATTTAAAAAACAAAATCATTTGAAAAGTTGTTCAAACAAGCTTTTATGAGCCAGAAGAAAACCAAACTTACACAGAAGAACTATAGATATGCTAGGTATACCTAACAAAATCTCAATGCACAAAGATCTGCCAAAATTCACAGAAAATAAAGAAAAACGCTGGCTGAAACCCTAAATTTTCGTCATACCCAAAAAGGAAAATGCGGATGTGAAAACAGAAACAAAATAAGGACAACACAGTGATATACCATCATCGGAGAAATCAAATTCATCACTGAAGTCGTTGTCGTCTTCTCCGACCTGGTAAGCCTGGTCCTCGAAGAACTGTATTCCGGCCTTCCTCCTTTTCCCGATCTTGTCTTCATCGTATCCCTTGTCGAGATCAATCTTACGCTTCCCCGCCGAGCCCTTGCCGCCGCCGGCGACTTTCTCCTTGCCTTTATCTGAGACCATTTTTCTGCCAACAAAAATGAGGCGATTGCAGAGGGAGTGAAGTGTGGTGGAGTCGAATATAGGGGGGCATTGGGCGCGAGGCACCTGGCAGGCGATCACGCTTGGAAACACCACCTCCCCTTTTATTACACAAATGCCCCTAGAGTTGACTGAAATAACCATCCTTGTGGGTTGTAGGGGTAATTGTCGGGTCGGTTCGGTCTATTTCGGCCCAAAATCAAACTAACCGAAACAATATGCGATTCAAAATAAGCGACCGAACCGAATTAACATTGGGCCAAATAATAATAATAATAATCTTATTTAGATTTAGTCTAGTATGATCTGATCTAATTTGATTGGATCTGATTTGATTAGATATGAACTGATCTCATCTGATTGAATCTGATTTGGTCTGATCTGATTTTAATAAGAATAAGTAATAAACAGAAAAAATAATTTGAATGGAATGCTATTTAAAAGGATACAATTGAACTCAATTCACTTATTTGGACTTAAAAATAGGTCATATTAATTTGATAAACATTAGTGTGAATATGAATCTAGGTTATTCGGTTAATCGAATAAACCGAGAATTTAAGATTGGGTAACTGAAACCGAAAAAATAGTTATTTTGGTTTTTGATTTTGTGGTCAATCCGATTATTTTGCTCACCCCTAGTGGGTTGCTCCACCGTCCACATTGCCTCGTGCTTCTCGTGGCAACGAGTTGGTTTCAAAGCTTTTTTCCTCGCTTCGATCCCAAATATTCTTATCTAGATTTTGAATAAGTTCTGAGATCTGATATGAATGTTGTTATATTTAAAATTATTTTTTATTTGAATTGAACTGATTCCAATAAAAATAAATTGAAGAGAAGAAACTCTAATAATGATATTGGTAAGAGTTTTTTACTCATTAATTTTTTGAAACAAATAATTTATACAGTGCATAACATAAAAAAAGTCTTAGAAAAATAAGAAATTAATGATATTCTAAAAAACAACTTTTTACATTACAGACTAAGATGTTTATGAACTGGATGATTTGAAGTATACGTATTCAATAAAATTAATACGCAGAGTATTTCTCAATTTCGTCTTTTTTAAAACAAAATATGAAATAGTCAATGGATGGGTCGGGTGACACGAGAGAAAATTGTTACCCGCATCCAACTTGGTCTATCTATCATGCTTTCTTTATGTATTTTCATCCACTAACTTAGATCGAGTGATGTGGTTATCCAATAGATTGAGTAGAAATTGTCATCACTAGTTGCTCTAGGCCTATTAACCGAACAAATATGTTATTCAAGCCTTAATGAGTACTCTTGAAGAAAATTTGATATAAATAATCCGAAGTATATGTTGTCTACTTAAAATAATATTTCAAGAATCGAATAATTGGTGGCAATGAAAGTTTAGCGTCAGATATCCTTACCCAGCTTCACCGCTGAGCGAGTAGTATGTTTTATTTGATACACATAGATAAACAGAAAGAATGATGTGACGTGACCATGGCGACAAACGGGGGCGAGATTGTTGGGATAGATGTGACGGTTTTGAACTATTATGTCAAAAGACATTAATGAATTATATTTTGTATTGTAACTTGTTAAGCTTCCGCAACATTGAAAAGTTCATACTGTTTCTTTTATTAATATTATTTTGTGATGAATAAAAGTGTTTGAAATATTTTAAACTTTACGATTACCAAGTTTATACTTTAGTTCGAAAGAGGCTACAAACCTAGATGGATTAGAGTGTTACATACCCCAAGGTGCAAGAGGTGTTAAGTTTGTAGTAGTTGCAATCGATTACTTAACCAAGTGGGTCGAGGCAATCCAATAATGAATATAATTAATGGAATACTAGATGATTATGTTCGTAGGTTAGCACATCCTATGCAGATTTGGAGTCCCTCACCACATCATAATGAATAAGTGACGATAATTTATGGGACCTTGCTTCACGGGATCCTTGGAAAGTTGGGAGATCAATCACGCTAAAGTTTTGGTTTCCTATACCATATAAACGATCAAGTTGAAAATGCCAATTGGACCATAGTTGCTAAAATCAAGAAGAAGTTGTTGAATGTCAGAGGACAGTGAGTATATGAGTTACCTCGAATCTTTTGTGCCTACAGAATAACTCCCCGAAGGGCAACATATGATACACCTTTCGAATTGGCGTATGAGTTTTGAGGCGTGCGCTCCAATTAACCAAAATGTTGGACTTGGTTCCAACTTGGAAGGAATAAAATTAGGATCCAGATCAAAATGATATAGACCAAGCAGTCAAAATGTACTTGTGGGTAGATGCCAAGGAAAGTTAAAGAATACTTTGATGTGCGAGTAAAGTCCTGAGTTTCCAAGTTGGTGATTACGTCCTAATAAGGCATGAGGAGAGCAAGCCTTTGCATGACGGATAATTCACTATGTCTTATGAATGGCCTTCTTTAGTCAAACCAGTCGAGTGCCCCGAAAATTACCAGTTGATGACCCTTAGGACAATAGAGCTAGACGAAACTTAGAATGTGGAACACTTAGTTAAATTTTATCAATATTCCATTATAATACTATGATGGCCACTATTTAATAAAATTCCAAGTTATGTTCTACTTTGTTCTTCCCTGAAATGCTTTCATGAATGCACGAGGGTAGATAAGCTTATGCCCAATTAAAAAATAGAGAGAATCGCATGGGTATATTAGAAGATGCCCTACGGAAAGATAAGCAAGTTAGAAAAGCTAACGTCTTGCAAGCACGAGAATTATAAGGTTAGAGATGAAAGGTGAGTCAGACTTCGAGGGCAGGGCTGAACCTTAGAAGTCCAAGAATCTAACAAGGTGGAACGATTCTAGACTAAGAGGGCCAAGTCGATGTACCAAATGAGAAATAAAGCCGAAGGAATCAGTGAAGGAAAAACTAATGCCTAGACTATAAGGGCAAAAATCCCAGAGCTAGCGTCCTTTGAGCTTCGGATCATATTGTAGTTTTTGGCAATTTTCTTGCATCTTTGTTCATCTATTTTAAATTTAGTTAAGGGCTAGATATCATTGTGGTGCTATTGTGCATTTGTACTCGCTTTTGGTGCTAGTGGAGTTGGTTAGACTGAAACGTCTTTTGGTTTTTTACCCATTCCCATTGAAAGAGTTTTCCACATTACAATATTGTGTCGCCTATCGTTTATTTTGTGTTTGGATCATCTTGTTGCTTGGTGTGTTTTTTTGGAGTGATTGTGTGTTGCTCCTCACGCATTCTTTTAAGAGAGAAAGATGTTGATCTTGGGCACAACATTTATTTGTTTTCTTTCTTTCCCAACACCTTTTTAGGATTCAAAAGTTTAATATAAAAAATTCCCCACAAAACATTATTTCCTCTGGCCTCTACCGTACGCCGCAATCGTGTGTCACCGGAGCCACAATTGCAACACTAAATGACGCACCTCCCTCTCCTCTTGTCTATCATGAGTCACTGCCACTATGATAGATTGATAGAGAAAACGAGCTCTTCTAAGGAGGTTGCTAGCAACAAGGATGATCACAATGATGATGACAATGTCAAGATGCCACGCCATGGTTGTTTCTCCTTAGGATCTCACACCAAGCGATAACTTGGGTACCGACCCAGGTTGTTCAGAAGGGGAGATAACTAAGTTGAGTCGTCTAAATCTATGGGACTTGGTCTTCGTTCCCGAAAGAAGTTTAAGTTTATAGATGGATCCATTGTGATGTCGTCACCCATATTCAGATGATTATCGTGATTCCTGATTGGTGGACAAATTTATAAAGTCACAGAAGCCCGACAAAAATGCAGAAAATAAACTGCAAAATTGCAGGAATTACAAACATCCAATTGCTGTATGCACTTTGAGAAAGTGTAGAAAGCTACTCTTGGAGAAAAGCTTTCTCGGACGACTTTCCATCAAGAGAATCAATTTCCATTGCGCCAGGCAAACACTTTAAGTGGATATTGCAGCTCTGGGAGAACAAATGAATGCCATGAAAACCGAAAATATGTTTCGTAACATGAAAAATCATACAGACAAAATTCCAAAAAACAAGCTACTGTCACTAGCAGACTACACTCAAATACGGAGTATTAGACAAGAAAAAGAACACCTTCGAGGAATTTATCTCAAATCCAAATTCCAGTTCCAAACCCGTTAGGGAGTTTGATGACCTGAATAAGAAGATGCAAAAGACGTAGAGATTAAGTTCAAATGCAACTAAAGTTAATCTAGCACCAGCAGATATGAATTTAATAAACTCCAAGCTAATTTCTCTCCAATGAAGAGGGAAATGAAACAAAGATAAGGAAGTGGATGTACCTGAAACAAGTGATCTCTGCAAAATCTTTGCAAGAAATGCGTGACATAATTAATCTTAGCTTGAAGTGATATTTTTGCCGAGAAATATGATAAAATTTCTCGAGAGAGCCCCTCCTACTGCTGTTTACTATGATGGTATCATCTCTTAATTAAAACAAGACGAATGACCAAAGCTCTGTCACCGTACACGCATGCCATTGGAAGAACATAAAATGTGACACTGCAAACAATAAGTATCACAAGTGAAACAAAAATGTAAATTCATACTATCAAATAGCATAAACATATTATGGAGTACATGGCACTGTTGTACCAAAAAATATTACATGACACTGTATTAATGAATCTTGAGATTGCCCATGTAACATGATTAGATTAGATAATGATGGAGCACAAAACATTTTATTCACTTGCAACTTTGCAAGTATTACCATTCAGAATTTGAACAACTAAGAACAACTGAACAAGAACTCCTCTGGTCACCCTCCACTTTATACTGCCTATTTTTACAGCAATCTCTATCTTATCTTCAAATAAATTGGCAAATAACAAAACAAATTCTATATGAACACTATATACACATAAAATACAATTAGAAATGAAATCAAATGTTCTTTTGGTATAGTTCTTGTTTTAAAAATCAAGTTTCTGTAACTGTTTAGAAAATGAAACAAACACAATACAGTAAAATTTATTTCATTTGTTCTGTTTTAGAAAAGGTGAAGGAAAATAGAAACATTACCGGACAAAGCCCAAGCGACTTAATATTTACTGTCTTCAAGTTCATAAACAAGCCTTTTATAAGAATAACCACCAACAAGGTTCTTCTCTTGCAGTTCCTTCAAAAAACACACAGCATCCTGTACACTCTGTTGACGGCATATTTCATCAACCACTGTCCGGTAGGTGATGAAGTCAACCGTTCGTTGGTTTTCATTCATCTCCCACAAATACTCCACTGCATTTTCTACCTCTCCACCCAGAGCAAAGGCATTCACCAGAGAGTTGTATGATTTGCTACTTGGGGTAAACCCTTTCATTTTCATTTCGTCACAGAGCTCCTGGGCATTCTTTGTTCTGCCTTGTGCACACAATCCATGGATCAGATAATCATACGAAAAAGAGTTTGGATGGCATTTATAGACAGCACCCATCTGGTGAAATATCCTAAGAGCATCATTCACATGAAGTGAAAGAACATATCCCTTTATCATATAATTCAAGGAGAAGACATCCGGTTCAATCCCATCATTGATCATCTGTTTAAATAGGTTACGAGCAGCTTCCATATACATGTAACTTATATAAGTATTCCTTCCCACAGTCAGCAGACCAGAAAAGAGAATATTGTAAGTTATGATCGATGGCCTGCAATCCATTTTCATACTGTTTTGCATGTGCTTGAATATATTCACAGCCCTAATCAACTTCTTAGCTTTTATGAAGTAGTGTATCATCGTATTGAAAAGTGCCTCAGAACCAATATAGGGGACAGAAAGAACTTGATTGACAATATCATCCATCTCCTTATACATACTTGCTGCACCGAGCCTTTTTATGGTTACGTGGTAGGTCAAGACATCATGCCTAAACCTATGCTGAGTTGATGCCCAGTTGAACAGTTCTAAACACACCAACGGGTCTTCCTCTACGCTCATGACATTGTACAGATCTTCAGGGGTGAACCGAGGTGGGAGTTTTTCCATTGCCTTTTGGACACGGGATTCATCGAGAACAGGTTTGGAGGCAGCCAAAGCTCGTTTGCGCATTCTCCTTCTAAGAGACCTTGTCGGGGGACCCATCAGACGTCTGGTTGCAGTAGAAGAATAGAAAGAAACCGGCATAAAACATTTCCTGTACACTTTGAAACCCTCTTTTGTGGAAACTTGTAAGGATTTTGTCAAGTTGTGGAACTGAACTTGAAAACAGCATATGCTATGGTAATGGGAATGCAAATGGACAAACAAATTGCCACATTTAGAGATGGAAGAAGCACATATAAACGAATAATTTGCTGCTAATCGGCGGTGATACATGCTTCTTACATTTGAACACAATGGCTCAAGATTGTGCCTATATGTTATTATCATATCAAAATGATGGAAATATATTTATTGAGAAGGCCTCTGAATAATCACAATCTCTAGCTAAACATCATGGCAAGTAAGAAAGATGAAATTTCACCCTGAACGCCTGAGCCAACAAAGAAAGGGGGCTTCTAATAGATCAACATCAGATTCCACTACTGAGAGAGGTAAACCATAGTAAATCTGCGCCTCTGTACAGAATCCAGTCACTTTAAGTTCTGATGGAAGAAACTAAACGGAGATGGATTGAAAATCAGCCGGCGTTGCAGGCAACACGATCGGCTTTAAAATCAACAGAGTTAGAAATGAATCTGCAAAAAGTATTAGAAAAAATCAAATAAAAATCAGAATGGAAATAAACCTTGAAATTCTTTCCAGCAGCATTACATTGCGAATTCGTAAGCTCAAGAGATGGGCATGTAATTTTTCAGAGAAGATGAATTACCGGCGAATTGAAGAAGATTACCGTACAGGAAGAGAGGATAGAAACTATGGATATGTTTGTTTTAGGATGGTTTGGCATACGAAATTCAGTAGAATTGGAATTAAACTACTCTGTAAGCTAAAATTTTATGGAATTGATTTTGATGAAATTGAGTTTTCTAATTTTAATTCAATTTTAACACTACCAATTTCAAATCTACATATTTTTCAGCTACCAAACATTAAAATTGAAATTACTATCTCAATTCTTATTTTATAATTTGAATTTCGTGTTCCAAACGGAGCATTAGCATTGGACTTTTAGTCCAAAACTTACTGAATGACGTTGTGTCCCATTGCCCAATATTGATTAAAGAAGCCCGAAAGACAAATGATAGAAATGTGATTTTTGCCTACCTTGAAAAGTAAAATCTACGCCATCGATTAATTCTTGTCACCATTCATTTTTTATGAGTTAATTTCACAAATGATCCTCTAATAAAATTATCATTATTCGATTTTTTACATAAAATCATGCTTCATATTTCTTTATAAATTAAAATGTGACCTTGTAGTCTATTCATTTTATTAATGTTCACAAAAATAAATTTAAATGCAAAAAAACCTTAAAAACCACATCCAAATTTTGCTTCTACCATCTTGATTTGCTACCACTTCCATTTTATGACTTTAAGAGATGACAAGTTATTATATGCACAGATGCACTTAAGGGTCATGGTGGACCTTCATATATGTTAAATAAGTATTTTTAAATATTAAAATAAGAATATTTAAAATTTAAAAATAATGTTAGAAAGTCCATGTAGACTTTAGGTCATCATTGTACTCTTGAGAAATCATTCTCCTTTCTAAGCGTACCCCAAGTTAATATAGTCAGTACTCATTTTATTACTCATAGTTTTTTCATTTTCACTTTTTTAATGGTCAAGAACAATACTTTATAATGTAAAATGAGATGTAACAAAATTAGAAGGGGTAGACCCCCAAGCACACTATAATGCCTCTAAACGTCTTGCTAAGGTTGGTGCACCCAAGTTTAGAGAACGCTGAATAAAAGAAAAGAAACAAAGTCCAAAGAAGACATAACAATTAAACAATCTACAACAAGATAGGATAGTCAAACGAAGTGTTCGCCTTGGTGTAACACATGATCCGAAATTTTATAATAAGAGAGTATGTACGAAAGACAACTTTATTGTAAAATTACAAATAGATACTAAAAACTAATATTAGTGTAGAGTAGGCTGAGGAGCGAATGTAGCATACACCAATTCAATAATAGATATTATTTAAGTACTATTTAGAGAATAAAAAAGTTTAAGAATTCATGACACCAATCATTCTCTTTCATTCACATCATCTCCATAGTATTCATTTTTAAATACTTTTTTTAAAGAGTAATTCTAGAGTCGCGAACAAAATAATCAGAAAATTCACAATCTTGCCAAACCTGTAAAATAAAGGTATCAAATTATGGTTTCAAATAATCAAAAAATAAATATTTAAATGCACAAAATGTAAGATTGTGAATTTTGTGAGTATTTTGTTTGTAATTCTAGCATTACTCTTTTTTAAACAAATACTCCGTATTTCATACATCCATCCTTTTAATCACTCTCATCGTTCTAAAACATTCTTCTTGTATTGGTTTACGAGGTTTGACCATCTTCATTTCAATTCAATTTTTTTGATTGTAGGCGTAAAATTAAAAAATAAAATATATATCTTTAAAAATTACATAAAAATTTTTACAAAGTAAGAAGTGACAAGACTGTATTATTTTATGAAATTTTAACGAAAATAGATAAAGAAAATAACTAAAGTTCGACCGTGTGAATAGTAATTGAAAAAAACATTTTAAATAAATAAAATAATTAAATATTTTGAAAATAAATATTACAAATTCAATATTTTAAAAGGAGTATAATAAATATTAAAATCAATAAGCCCGACATTTAAATGCGTCCAATGGAATTAATGTTTAACCTTCTCTCCATTTAATCAGGCACTCAGAATCATTAAATGACATCTTCCATTCATACATATTTTTAAACATGTTTAAAGCATCACTAATGAAAATGCTCTTAATCCTCAGCACCAAGATGGCCGCCACGGCGGATCCGAACACCATGACGGCGGCGATGACAATAAACCTCAATCTCAATTCTCAAGAGTATGATTTATACAATTATACATCAACAACATACTCCTTCCGTCCCTGAAAACCTTTCTCCTTTCCTTTTTCATCGTCCCAAAAAATACTTCTTATTCCTATTAAAAATTTTCTTTACTTTTACCCCTTACTTTTACATACCCTACCTATCACATCATATCTTTTTACGAATAATTTACCCATCAAATCCTACTTTTACACATCACATCAAAGGACATTTTTGGAAATTGAATACCAAAATACACTCTCCTTAAATCTCTTCGAAATCAAAACATCTCATGTTTAAAAGGACAGATTATTAAATAAAGAGCAATGCTAGGGGTACACCATTTGGTGTACCACATTTGTCCCTCACCCCTTTCTCCACCACTCATTTTTACTCCTTTTTTATTTATTTAATTTTTAAAATATCTTGCTCATTTTTGTGGTAATGGAGGGGGTGGGGAATAAATGGGGTACACCAAATGGTGTACCCCTATCATTTTTCTTAAATAAAAGTACCTTGAAAAAAGTTTTGTTCCTCTTACGATTTCAAAGGATACTTTAGTTCTGTGCCAGATTTGTACTCCGATTTGGTTCAGTCTCGGCCGCCACGGCCTCCTCCCGGAACTTCTCATAAATGTCACTCGTGTAGAACTTCCTAGTCCGAACCACCAAGACGGCCGACGCGGCGGCTCCGAACACCGTGACGGCGGCGATGATGAGAAACCCCAATCTGAAGCACTCAACCCCAACACATTCCAATTCTACCCCTCCCTTCCTCGTCTTCCCCAGCGCTCTCATCTGCCTCTCCGCCTCTCTGTCATACAGGTGCCCCACCACCCTCACGTTCAGCAAATACGACCCGATCGGGCTCGCCGCCGACCCGAAATTGTGCAGGGTGGAATAGTACTTGAGCCCGAAGAGCTCGGAGATGATGGCGAAAATCAACGGCCACTGGGCCCCGAAGCAGAACCCGATGATCACCGACGCCACGTAGAGCCCGCCGCGGACGCCGAAGGCGATCAGCAGGTGGCCGGCGACGGCCGTCAGAAGGACTCCCGTGAGCATCAGAGTTCTGGGGAATCTGTACTTCTCCAGGAAATGCTCCGACAGGAATCCGGCGACCACTCTGCCGGCGTAGTTCCATATGCTCACCAGAGACACGAATGTGCCGATGCTCTGTTTGGGGTACCGGAGCGACGCCCCGATCTGTCCCAAGTTGTCGATCGCCGTCAGCGTGCCTCCTACGCCGCAAATTGTGGCTAATAAGAGAATCAACATGTTGGCGCTAAAGAGCGCTTGGATTATTGTGTGGTCTTCCCCCGTCTCCGGCGGCCGGAATGCCGTCTTCCAGCAAGAAACCTCGCTTTTCTGCACTGGTCTTAAGCTTTCCGAGCTCCTATCCAAAAGTTAAATTCAGTTAAATATTCGTATAAGAAAATTATTTTCATAAATTTATGTATTTTATTTTATAATTAATTGATGTGTAAAGTTCGTTTAATTTGATTAAAACAATTAAACTGAACAAATATGCTAGAACGTATATAATACATCTATAATTTACTTTTGAAATGAATTTTTAAAATATTACTCTCTCTGTTCACCATAGATCTTCCCGGACACTATTCACAGGGTCAAACTTAATTCACTTTTTTTGTTTTATTTTTACTACTTATTTTACAAAATAATATAGTATTGTCACATCTAGTTTTGTAGAACTTTTTATGTACTTTATTACTATATAAATTTTACATTAAAATTTTACCCATATATTCAAATAAATCGAATTGAAAATAAAGTCGGTCAAGCCTCGTAACGCGTAATGAGAAGATCTTAGGTGGACGGAGGGAGTATAACATTTTACAAAATTGATAGTCCAAATGTTACATTTGAAATCGTGAAAAGACAATTATACATAACTAAATAATTTTTCAAGTGTCCCAAAAATAGACATCTAGCTATTATTTACAAGTCAACAAACTATATTTTATTTATACATTTTTATTGATCCTTTATAACCTAAAATAACATTATCATAATTTATTTTGAATGACTTTGTTAAAGTTTTACTAAATAAAATTTTTATATTTTAATTTTAGACTAATTCTTACTTATTTTGATTTAAAAATAACTTTAATCAACTTTTGAGCTTGAGAAAATATATGAACACATGCTATATTGTAAGAGAATTGTTGATACAAAAAAATTATTATTTCTCGCGTTCAAAAATAATCTTCTCATTTGATTTCTTACAGTCTGCAAAAAAATACTTTTAGAGTTAATATTTACATTTATACATGAACATATTTTATAACTCTATTATTTCAAAACTATGTTCATAAAAAAATTATTGATATTGTTTTTATATCGAAACACAACGTATTTTTGAAAATTAAAATCAGAATTTACAAATTTTAATCGAGAAGAGTCAAATAAAAAAACTATTTTTTGATGGAAGGAGTATAAACTTTAATTAATCATAATTATATTCCAAAACAAATCCAATTATATTTTCATGGTTGAAATTTATAAAAAAATTTATCAACAAAATTGTTAAATTTATTTTGGAAAGAGTGGATGGAAATACCGGCACGATTTGATGCTCATTTTCTCTGTCTTCCCGCTTTCTTGGGTCAAACCACCGGTGACTCCACCGGTCAACGGCGGCCTCTGGTCTACCGTGACGACAACCGTAGCTATCTTCTTCCTGTTCCAAATTCCGATCTCCTCCTTGATCACAATCCCGAGAGGCAAGCAGAGCAGGACAAGAACCCCGGCGGCGCAAAGGCTATATTCCGCTCTATTGAAATCGAATTTCTTCTGGAGAATTATTATGGTCATCAGAAACCCGGCCAATCCCAGAGACGCGTACAGGATCCGGTAGAACACTCTCAGCTCGTCGGCGATCGCCGGCGC